TATTGTATGAAATCAATTTTACAATATTACGTACCATGGATTAACGGTAACCACAAAACTACTGAAGACCATATAGTATTGAACTATCAAAACCCTCGTACGTAATCATCATTTGACCAGACCTCAGATCGATTTGTGGAAATCAATTACAAATCTACAAAAAACAGGCGAGTTCCCCCCCCCCTATTATAACATTTTCAGGGGCAACTTATCGGGTTTATTAACCCTTGGATGATATATTCGTTATCGACTACATGCACCAACTAAAAATTTATCAAATGTCTACGCCTCCTCTGTTTAATTCAAATTTAGGAAATTGACTGGAAGTTCATGAAAACAGTGATTTCCAGTATAACGATGTAAGCTTTACAATCAACCACAAAATTCAAAGAACATAACACCCAGAAGAAAACCTTGATAATCCATTTATTTTTGTAACGACAATAATATTAAATTACTCCATCATGAAATACATATTCATATCAATATTCAGATATTAATAGTGAGTTTAATTAGTTAAAACGGTCGTACTAAACCACTGAATTGATTGAAGTAAAAAAATATGGAAAATAGGATTTAGCTCAATTTTGGAACGAGATGAATAAGAGAAAGTGACCAATTTGGCGTTGTTCAGAATGCCAGAAGTCATATTCTTTTAATATGCATTTACGAAAACAGTCTATAAGATTTTTATATCCTCTTAATTGAAAGCTCCTAATCGACTGATTAACTACTCTCAGAAGCTTTTCGGCTCTCAAATTACTGTAAATTATTTATTAGACTATTAAACTGATTGTTTATTTTAGATTCTATGTTTAGTATAATCCGGTAATTCATGTATTTATTCACGTGAATTTTTTAATCATAGATACAAAAATTGCATCTTATGATTCACTTTCGCATTCTGATTGAGTTTGCGGACACGAAATCTACATAGCGATAACGTTAAAATATCAGGTCATTTATTTGAGCATTAGTGTCATTGGTTCAAGCATAGTAGTCCGCACGGTCATCTCACTCAATGACTTTACGTGATATTATATTGGTCTTAAGACGTGTTAGAACGTATTTCTAACGTTGTTTAGCTTTTGTTACTCATCTGATGTTCACTTTTTTGAGTAAAAATAAAACTTGATTTAGGTAAACGTAGTCGGATAAGGTAAGTTCATTTATATCGTGATTTCTCCTCAGCTGCTAACAATTTAGAAACAACAGTAATAATTATGACAAGACCATAATTTATGGACGAGTCAACCAGATTTATAATAGACTTCCATTTTTAAGTGAAATTCATATATCGATATGGTTAAATAACATTTTGACACTATAGATGTTAGCTCGTGATCAAAAACCTTAACTTATAACTCTAACTCTTATTCACAATTCCTCAAATTAATCTACAAACCTATTTCCACCCTAGCAAGTAATTATTTTTCAAGGTCACTTCAGTGTTGCTCAACGTCGTCCATAGACCACGGCCTCGTCATAATTATCTCATATATAACATATCATACTAATGAAGGTTAATAAAATAACGATAACTATAAAATATCAAAATGGATGAATATTTATACGATCAAATATGAAAATTCTAAAACATATAGAGACAAGTTTCTATAAAATGAAAATGAAAATCGACGTTACAAGTTACGTAACAACAACCGTAAAACTGGACACATCAAGAGTAAAATGAATAAAGCTAAAAATAATGACGTAGAAATGAAAAGAATTTGTAAATTAGAACATGAAATAAGATATTACACAACTAAACTAATAATAAGCTAGAAGTTACCAGGGTAGTGCGAAATTTACAACAGTATGTTTTGTAATGCATACAGTCGGTTTTAACCACTGATAAACACAGTAAATTCAAGGTGGCTTGAGTATTGATTATTTTGGATGATTTCGAAATACCAAAACTATGTCCACTATTAAATAGATGACAGGAAATTACACTATTGAAAGATACTATGGGATGTGCTTCAATATACTAACTTTCCTCTTCGTTCTTCCGACGTAAGTGCTTTACTTAGCACTGGTAAATAAGAATTCAGATAAAATGAGGTTGGGATTTTCTAGAACTGTATACTAGTACTTATATGGAATAGTTGATTAATGTGTTGAACTAGTTTTTTTTCTACGTTGTACAATGATTAATCGATTTTAACACTCATTCACAAAGTCTCAATCATTTGAAGTCATACTTATAAAATAGTAATTTTAAATATTGAATAATTAAGTGATGATGGGATTCAGAAAAATGTCATCGACTTCTAAATATCTTACCATGTATTTTAGAAAAATACCTGCTTCGGTTTGGGCACCCGGGCAGTATCACAGCCCTCACACAAATCAATTGAGATTCGTGTGGCGCATATGTATTTGGTGCCTCCCTGTACCTATATTTATGTGTTAAAATAAAATAATAAATAAATAATTTTAGAAAAATTCATAGACATGTTAGCATCGTATTTGATAAGCGACAAACCCATATGATTGACTCATAATATATATGACATACTTATGCATGATAAAATATATTAGATTATTAAAAATAGATTCCACATTTGCTTTGCAGTAATTAAGACAATTTTGTAGATAATAACTTTTCAATGAGTCAACTAATCTTGAGTGTATATTGAATTTATTAAAAATCCCCTAAAAAGTATATTGCACTCTCCAGTAATAATGAACAATGTATTTTAATTGATTTATTTACAAACAATAGCTTGCAATGAACCTATTTGGTATGTCTAGTCGATTAACTTCTATAATTCTATATTTATAAACTATAGAAAAACATCATTTATCTTTCATATTTGACCTGACTTTAACCTTTTTATAAAGTTGAATAGAAAATGGGAATTTGTGAAGATAACCAAAATTGAAAGCATAAAATTGTCACAATATATGACTATCGTAACCAATGGTTGGAGACTCTTGGCGACATGGCTCAGAATCGATCACAATGGCGTCGGTGTATACACTCTCTGTCTTCCTTAAATTAAGAGATTAAAATCGCTTCATATCTGTCTAGGAACTAATTCTTTCTTCCTTTACTATCTCCTTATACACAATCTTTCTTCTATATATTACCACCACTGAATTAACTACTCCTATGAATCCGGTGTTCATCTTGTTGTGCTAATGCGGTATGGCAACTTGGACCGATGCATATACGTGCCTGGTCCTACGTTGCAGCTGACTGACTGACATATGAAAAAAAAAAGTACAACTTACATTTACTGACGATTTAGGTAGTAACGTCTTAAATTAAATAATTTTGTTTACTTCATTTCAAGTTAAACTCTTCAGAAATTTAAAGCTTATTCAAGCAAAAGTCTGGATACCTTTCCTAACCATAGTATAAATGATCACTTTTTAAATACTTATTTGCACTTTAACATTTCTTTCTGTATGATGAATTCCCATTGATCATACTACAACATTACTGTTTATCGAAATGAATTAATTCATCATTCATAATATTAACTGACTTAGTAAAATTGTTATAAATGTTCATTAGTTTGTTTGTTTTTTTGTCATATCTTTGGTATATTCAAACAAGTACTTGAAACTACCAGACAAATCATTATACAGAAAAAATTTGAAAAAAAAAAGTAATTGTTTAGTTAATATTATGAAACTCACTGAATAACACTCAACTGATCACTGAATAGTGACCGATGTCATGTTTAACTATTCCCTAGTGGTAATCAAATGTTATCGACCAAGTAACAATGGAAACATTAGTTTAAACGACTGGATATCGCATACACTATGCTGAAATGTTAGGTTGTTGAAGGTAGTCAACAGGAAACCCCATTTGACCTAAGTTTCATACTAGCCAGCACTAGCTACCAAGGTATATATAGAATCTTGAGGGAACAGGTTTATACTGATAGGTCTAAAACTGAATTACCCAGTTCCTCAATCTAAGACGTTACCACTGGGTTATTAGGGTCGTAACTGACCTCCTGTAGGACTGACTGACCACTGCGTCTTGATCAATCTTTGTCTAGTCCTAAATCTAGGGTCGCCTGTAGACTGCCTTCAACTACCCCAGAAATTTGTTTCATAATGTAACTTACACAACAAAATGAATATAAAGGAAAACAAGACTATACAAGGGAACTTATTGTTGCATTCTTTGAAGTATTTTTCTGCAAAACACCGTGATTTTTTAACATTATTTAAAGTAAACAAAACTGCTGAACAAATGTGTGGACTGTGGTTCATTGAAGTTAAATAACTCGAATTTCAACATATTGAACTAGATTCAAAGCTTCTTACAACAAAAATCATCGCAAGTCATATAAAAACACTACTTCATCCACTCCCTTAATTTTCTTTTAAAACTTTACGTTGTTCATTCCGTCAAAATACTCTACGATGGCTTGAAGAGTAACAAAGCAGTAGATTGCCAGTGATAAATCAAGAATTTAAAATGTCTTCATTGTACATTTACGTTCCCAAAAAAGCATTAAGCATAAATACTAAGTTTTAATTTTTTTTAAAAAAAACCAAAGTCCCGACCATATATAATTCACATTAGATACAATACACCCATTAAGGAAGGTCATCTGATTAACAAACATTACAAATAAACCAATCTAGAGGTCAATAAACTATGAGTCATCCAATCAAAGTAACTCGAGTGACCTGCTTGCAAAATAAGAGATCGACAAGGGATAAAAATCAATAACAACACCACAAGGTTATAAACAATCATTAACCATCTTTGTACAGGGTTTGTGAATTTTACACAAGTAGCATTAGATAATTTTAACACTGAAGTCGTAACCATAGTACTTAACGGTAACCTGGTAATCCTAATCTTTAGACATGCGTCACAAGATTTGAAGGTTACACCTTCTATATCTAATGAGGTCGTAGATGGGTTTTATCGATGTATTCCATACTAAAACGAAACTGTTATCCAGTGCTCCTTGGTTTCCAATGATACGCCAATTTAGATAAATCTAAAAAGAATACAACCTGCAAATTGAATCAAACTATACGAAGACTAAATCACTTACAGAATGTGTTGGTTTATCACATAGTGAAGTATTTCAAACGTTATGAAGAAACAATGACATCGTAATGCATATGTATATATATAAGTAAGAAACCAGTTATGACTGTCAAGAATGAATCAAAAAATAATCAATACTTTATGATAGGCAAGAAATTAAAATCAAACATTAATTTATCGATAAAATCAAATGAAAAACAAGTCAATGAAATTACAAGGTCACATGAAATACTAAAAAAAAGAAGATAATACTAATTATTGGTGAACATACAAATGGTTAATTGGTTAATGAATGAATGGCATTTGTAAAAAAAGAAGAGCACTACAAATGAATAAGTCAACTACAATCATTATTACTAAATCGTCAAAGAGAATTAATAATGGGTCATATTTTTTTGTACAAAAATGTTACCGATCATTCCGTTTACATTAAATAATCGTCAAAATCATAATCAGATGATTCAAGGTGAGTGACATTATTTATCAATGCAGCCTGTTACCTGATCATCAGTATCACATGGTTGCAAACTTGTTGATTGTTCAGTAATTTCTTCCATTTTGATGAGTTCTGACTCTTCTTCAACTTTAAGAGTACTGATACAAACAGGAACAGTAGATATGGTGGAGTTTGTAGTATCTGAAATAAGACTGGTTACAGAAACTGTCGTAGCAACAGTGGGAATAGTATTATTATTAGTAGCAATAGTATCAGTATTGGGAGTAGTAATGGGAGCAGTAGAGATAGAAATCTGACTGTTTGTGACAATAGATTCAAGTGTTTCATTTGTTTGTTGTGGAGTTGTGAGGAAACGTGATAAACTTCTTGGTTGTGCACCACGAAGGTGGATATTACTGTGACGACGTAAATCATACATACGGACAAATGAAGCTTTACATTTATCACACACAAATGGTCGTTCACCTGTATGTCGACATATATGTTCACGCAGTTTATTCAGTTTTGGGAATGCTTTGCCGCATTCTTTAAATGGACAAATATGTGGTCGTCTCATTCCCGGATTCCCACTTATAGGAGAAATCGGACGCATCGGAAGAGATACACTTGATTTTGGTGCAATAGCTGGAAGAGTGCGATTTTTCGTAACAGTTGGTGCTACCGACATCTCATTTCTTGTTTCCATTGGTTCGGGCTTTGGTAAGATATATGGTGAGCTGGTAGTTATTTCTGGATTGTTCTGAATATCCAACCTTGGATCAGAAATATCAAAACTAGTTCCTGTCATACTATTAGTGTTAGGGATTTGAGACAGTCTTTCAGCACGTTTACGACCGAATACGTGTGTTAATTCATGACGTTTAACACCGTACAGTCGGATGAATGCAGCACCGCAACCAGGTTCACGACAGACGTAGGGCCTTTCACCTGTATGTGATCGTAAATGTTCTTTGAGCTTGTTCAACTTTGAATAGGCTTTACCACATCCAGCATATGTACAAGCATGTCGACGACGCGAATCTTTGTCAGCTGCATAAAGATGAGATAATTTGTGTCTCTTTAAATCCTCTTCTGAAAAGTACCTCACATTACAATTCGGTGCATCACATGGTATCGGACCAGTACCAGTATGTGTTGATATATGTTGGTTCAAGCGATGTCGTCTAGCATACGATTTATCACATCCAGGATATGTACAGTGATATCTACCCAATTCACTAACAGACTTAATGTTAAAGAGTGCTCTGGGGTCAGGAATTACCACGGATGACTGAGATGATTCGGATTTTACAGTATTTACATCATTATTGTTGTCGCTGCTATTATTATTACTACCAGTAATATTATCTTTATTTACTGAAGAGTTTACATCGAACGTTTCCCACTTAAACATTGCGTTATACTTTTCATCAGCTTCTTTCAATGCTTTATTGAATTCTTCTTCACTCAATGTAGCTGATGGTGGGCAATCTAAGAGATGCATACTCCAATGATCACGAAGATCACGTCTACGTTTAAATGTTGAAGTACACTGCGGTTCTGGACAGGTGTATGGACGCTCACCAGTATGTGTACGTATATGTTCCATTTGATTGAATCTACTGTAAAATGACATTTGACAATTAGCCACAGGACATTTAAAGCGTTTTACACGTCCAACAGGACGCTGAGTGTTTTTATCATCAGATACATGTAAGTATTCAGCTTGACTAGAACTTCGGTCAGATGATAAAGAAACTGTAATATTCTCAACATTCGATGGTGTCACAATTATACCACCAATATTATTATTGAGAGTTGCAGCAGACGAGACAACTGTATTAGTAACGCCAACATCACACAAACTATTTGGTGAAGTAATTATACCTCCACTTGTATTCAGTCCTAATCCCGATATATACGTTGACAACGGAATGGCAGATAACAAATTGGGAAGTAATGACGCTGTAGGGATTGTTACAGTGTTGACTCCACTACTACTACCACCACTACCACCAACACCAACACCACCAACACCGACACCAACACTACCACTACCACTGCTAACACTACAAGCACTACTAGTGTGGGTACTATTATTGTTCACATTACTACCATTAACATTACCATCGATCATGCTGCTGTTCACCATCGGAGTACACATAGATCCAGCTAGCTGACTTATCATGTTCACTGTGGCACAATTCACAAGCACAGCAGCAACAAGTGGATTCAGTGCAGCCGCACTATTCTGTACAATATTACTCGTCAAATCTGTCACACTATTCACATTAGGCATACTCATTCCCATTGAATTCACAACAGGAGAATGAAGCCACAATGTAGGCAATGCATTGGAAACAACATTCGGCAATTGCACACTTCCTGATCCATTCATTTTACTCGACAGTATAGGTTGAAGTGGAACATTTTGTATGGTGGGAGCAACATGTGGTGTAAATGTGAGTAAATTGTGAATGGCATCATTCAGAGGTAGAATTCCAATAGGTTTAACCGAATCTGTGGTTACGGTGACTGCAGTTCCATTTCCAGTGGGTTCATCCAATTTACTATTCGACACTGGAATGTGAGATTCACTTTTCATATGAGAGTCATTTGAATTCATGTCTACATCATTCCCATTGTAATCTTGCTCTGCATAATCTTCTTGTTCTTTCTTTAATTCATCATCAAATGTTGTATCTTCCTGTTTCATACGATCTTCATCTGGATCTGTAGGTTCTACAATAACTATTTCATCATCATCACCAACACAGTCAAGTAGTTGAATCAATTCTGGATTTTCCATTTTAATTGATTGAGATGAATGTTTTGAATTAGTGGATAAGTTGAATTTTGATGATGATTTCATTGATGCAGGCATGAGAGTAGGTCGATGAAGCATGATTGTGATTTTGATTTAGAATATCCACAGATATTTTTATATGTATCTTTAGTGAAATTCCAAATGGTAATTAGTAATCCGAGTTACAGGATATTTGAAATATTGTTAGTAAAAAATAACAGTTAAATCCAAACATAGAAAGTCTACAATCATTGGTTTAATGTGAGGGTATCTAACCCGTTTAAAAGTGGAACATTTCATTTGTGTTATCATGTATCACCCACGCGGGGCGATAAGGCAGATTAGTTTTCTCTGTGAATGGGAAAATAAAACTGTCCACGCCCTAAAATAAATGAGGGGTCCATATAATTCTCCTTCTATTCTCTACCCTCCGTATGTTTTAGTGACAGCTAACTTACAAAGGACGAAAGAAAAACCAAGGTCGGTAAATCGAACTGCAGGTCGCAGTTTATCGTTTTGATTGGTTTATGCTAAGCTAGTTAATTTTAACCAATCATAAAGCGTGGTCTCTTACTTTACTAACCTGAGCTTATGACCGCACTTAGGCCGCGGAGCCTGTAGTTTAATTTTCGGGCATGTTTGTTACAGACATGAAAAACAACTAGTGAATGAGAGACAAATAAAATGAGAGGGCCATCTTGGATCAGGCTAAATTCATTGTACGTGGTCCCTCCTTTCTCTCTCTTTCTCTGTCAAGGCTTATTATCGTAAATATACACACATAACTAGACACACCAATGTCTACGTGTCTCTATATGGTTCTCTCAACAACCATTGGGGTACCTTAGCCAATGAAAAATTAGGACAAAACAAAGTATTTCAATAACACAAAGTCTCAATGAAAAAATCAGCCTCGAGTACTGGCGAACTTTTTTCTAATTTTTCACGCTACCTCGTCTATAATCAGTCTTTGTTCTAACCCTTAACATATGGGGATGGGACTTAGCTAAAACTGTATATCGCCAAAACCAAATAAATGACTTGTGTGTCTGTTATGATTATTAATCCTGAAGGAAATTTTTAGCGAATTTTTTTTCGTCTGATATATATATATATTTATAAGTCACTTATAAATTCTTGTTAAAATAGGTATAGGAAACTTGTATATTTCTCAATGAGTTCCAATAAATATTCCATCTATTCAAAGAAATTTCATCTAGCCCTTTGATCTTTTCTATGGGTCATAGCTTCTATAGGATATCCTTGATAATTTTGTAATTATATTTTTAATCAATTTCATTAATATAAATTATGAATGGCAACAAAATAATGAAAGGAATATTGATGTAATGATATTAGTGTCTATCTCATGTTAGAAATTTATGACAACTTTTCTTAGAATTTAAATATTTCATCAAAGACTGATCAGAATTCAATCTTAACTTTCAACAATGAATTAGTTCAAACTTTTATTAATAATCAATTCTATTTGTATTGTTTAGGTTGTGTGTGTGTGTGTGTTTTTTTTTTTTTCTTAAGACTTTGGAGCTGGATTACAGATACTGTGAACAAAGTCAATTCATCAGATTTGTTCGTATATACTACTTATGACCGTAAATAGCTTTAAGATAATAAGTTGACTAGAGGTATCCTATTCATCTCTTTCTTTATTCATGATGTTTAATTGATTAGTTGAATGGTCAAATTTCATAATTCAGATATTTGTATTTTGGTATCAAGTTCACAAGGAGATACTTCAACTGATTACAGACATGATGGTAGGTAGGGAAGCGTATACACTTTGACTTTATACAACTATAAGTTATTGATTAATAATTCGAACTCTTTAGAGATGTGTAAATTTCCTGATGGGTTGACTCACGAGATGATATTATTCTTATGAACGGAAACATTGCCTGGCATAGTTTAAAATCCATGATAATATTGCTGAGTAAATATTCTTAAGCAACTAATATTTCACCACAGATATATTAGAAATATTGCTCATATCTGCTGGGAAAACTGGGTAAGTAATAGTGAGGTTAGATACGGGGTATTAGGGAATGATGGTAAATCAGTTGATGAGGTTGTAAATGTTCATCGACTGAGATGGTTGAACCACGTGTTACGTATGCCTAATCACCGATTACCACGATGCGTAATGCTGACTAGTGTAGGGGATGGTTGGGAGAAAGCAAGGGATGGCCAAACCAAAACATGGTATAAGTGCTTGAAGTCACTAACTTCCAGTCTGAGCTATGTTGGTAGATGCAGACTACTTGGTTGGGGTCCACGTGACTATCGTAACCAATGGTTGGAGACTCTTGATGACATGGCTCAGAATCGATCACAATGGCGTCGGTGTATTCACTCTCTGTCTTCCTTTAAAGTATGAAATTAAAACCGCTTCCTATCTTTCGTTCTAGTAACTAATTCTTTCTTCCTGTACTATGTTCTTATACGCAATCTTTCTTTTGTATATTGCCACCACTGAATTAACCGCTTCTGTGAATCCGGTCTTCATCTTTCTGTGTTAATGAGGTATGTCAACTTGGACCGATGTACAGATGTGCCTACGTTGTAACTGACTGACTGACTGATAACTTGTGTTTCGATATCATCTCATACTTTTCATTTTTCTATCAAAATCTTCATTTTAACTGTATTTAAAAAAGGTTTTCCCACTCCTTCACCTTTCATTTTGTTGATTTCCTTTTTTGTGCAGTTTCGAGGTGAATTTTAATGATTAGGGTCGATACATATTTGTTCCAGGTTTTATACTCTGATCGACTAATTGATTAAACTAATAGTTAAAATGGGCGTATCATGCATAAGACATTTAATGATTTGATACCGATAAAAATTGATTAATTTCTAAGTGACAATCACTAGTGAATGTGCGATTTCATCGTGAAAACAAACATGAGATTGTAAATTGTAGAAACTTTTCGACGTGTATAGATAAACGGGTTTGAATGCAGATAAGGAAATGTTTGTCTCCAACCATAGGTTAATATTATCTCGAAACCCTTTACCCAGGACGGCCACGCTTCTATACATTGTTCAGACGAACATCCAGAAACTTTGTGAATTTATTAGTTGTAATGGACGGTGGTTAGAAGTGTAATCCAGGAAGTGAGTTTCCATCCATCTGTTTATAGGGCTTGTGACTTAGGGCAATACCGAGGTAATCCTCACAGGATGCACATATGCCAATAAGAGACTGGTAAATTGCAGTCCCTAACGTCAATGGGAAGATTTAAACAACCAATACACGATGCATTAATAAATTTGTGTTTTCTATATTTCAAACGTACTCGTATACTAGCAAGGATTACATGTTTAAATAGTCGGCAGTTAGGTGTGCATAGTACACTTGCCTCACACACATCAGTTAGTGAATGTTCAAATTCTTACCAAGAGATTTACTACCTCCAAAATCAATCACTACAGTTATCTTGAAAAATTCTCTGGGGTCGGTTGGTTGGTATTTAACGTAATCGTGGCACGTACTGAAAAGATTAATTCGGTTTTTATCAACATACTCCACCTATGACACAGGCTAAATACTCGTATATTCATTAAAATGATATTGTCAACTCTTATCACCTCTGATGTAAACGAGACGTTCGCCTATTAACCGACGGAAAAGTATACCAAGCAACAACTATTTCCGGTCTACTTTATAGCTATGAAACATGGGACTTGAAATAGAAGGTATGAGTAGATAACCTTTATCTGATCACTAATGACTACAAAGTATAAAATATGTATGGTGAAACATCTCGAGTGATCAGTACTGATGTTAGGCTGAGGGCATAGGTGGAGTCGACAAGTGAATTGATGAAACAGAAAATCTTCATTGGTGTAGGGAGTAAGACACCTATTACACATGACCAATAACCATTCATCCCGATCCACGACGTTGGAGATATAATAATCAATTGACATAGGACTAGAAGTCACAAAACCAATACATTATCAATATATGAAATTTTCCACTACTGGTCTGGACTTTACGTGAAAGTTTAAACTACCTAGTTGGAGACTTTAAACGAAATAACTGGAAATCTGTAGTAATAATGTGAATGTATTCACGTTTTATTTCCCTATTGATTTCATGTTCCAATATTATTAGAATACTGAATAATAACAAGTACCTAATATTATTTATAGAATGTGACAACCCTAACCGATGCACCAAGTTCTACCACGTCCTATTTTCCTTAGAACTGACTGAGACAACATTATTTTGTACATCTAATTGTACGAATTTATCTCTTCTTCACGAACTATATGTTCTACGTAGGCTTGATCAAATATGCACTGCAGTGGAATCGATGAAACGCGTTTCGTCATATTTCACACTGGTCAGTTGGATGTACTCACCACATCCTAGAGTTGATATTCACTTCGAGACTTCGGATGTACATATGTCAACTATGAATGATCAAATTTCAGTGGAAAAATCAACAACCGAATAATTATAAGCTACTATAATTAAAAAAGATATATCCTCTATATTTAGTTTTTTCTTCATGTCATTGAAGCTACTATTATTTCAACTATTCTACTACTCGTCTTGTTAATTTCCACTCTGACTTTACAAATATGATGTGCCAACTTGAACTGATACAAGTTTGTCCAATGTTCACCTTCATTTTTACTTTTAATCCTGTCTAGTTAAGTAGTTATAAACAGTCTTCAGTATTAGGAAGTGAACAAGTGACCATAACATATGAGCGAGGAAGACGTTTATCAAGGTATAATTTAAAAAATACTAATGTAAATCATGACCATACATTATATGGAAGGTGTAAGTTTTCATGACATGTCATTCAATGAATCATCAATATGAAGATCAAAATCATTGAATAAATTAAACCAGTTAACCATTGAGAACCAAGAAGAACTGGATAATTGTTTCTACCTAGTATGGGTATTTGCAATACTGAGACCATATGTCTTCGTTAAGGATTTAACCAGGCATCAACAGGCTTCGTGGTATGCCTGTTAAATGTAGATCAATGGTTTAGTGAGTTCCTCGAAACGCATTCTGAAGACAAACCAGCTATTCAGTATTTATATCAGACGGGTTTTGTGGGTATTATAGTAATTTCAATGGTTGAGATCATGAGTCAATTGAAGCTAGATCACCATGGAAAACCTGGAAGCACTGGACGGCCGTTTCGTCGAGTGCTTCCAGGTTTTCTATTCAGTATTTACTGGCATCATGGTTCTCTAAATGCAATCACTCTGTTATGTGAACTGTAATGATAAACTGGATGGATAAGAACAACAGCACCAATGAAAAGTGAAATACACACCCATGTAGTCTGATAATATTTCTCACTGATTCCTCAGTTCTATTTTATCGCACATATTATTTAGTCAGTCCAACAAATCAATTATATTGATCTCCTGTTAGCTTGTGAAAACAATAAGCTTTCTAATCGGTCATTGAA